GGGAAGGGGAGGGGAGGGGGAGGTCATGTGCTAAGCCTGAAGGAATAATGAGGCTAGAGGAAGGGGTCTGAGCAAAAGGATTTTCATCTTGTAAGCAGGTGGGAAAGCCTGATGCCTAGTAGAGCAGAGAATTTGTTTCTTGCCTGGAATGTGCGACATGGTCAGGTGGGGCACGGGGTGGCTAGGGAGGCCAAGCTGACCCTGGAACCCTGGTTGACGATGTGGTCTGGAAAGTGGTCTGGAAAGTTCCCTCTAGCTGCAGAGCTGGGGAGTTTGGAGGGGGCTAGACAGCGGGGTACTTTCTGCCATGCCCACTTAGCTGTCACCCCCCTCACCTTCTGGCCAGGAGGCAGTGTCCCCTCCACACTGGCTGCCCTGTGCCAGGCTCTGGGCACAGTTCCACAGTTCCCAGGGAAATGTGCATGACAACAGCCTGGCTCCTGGCTGAAAAGGGACTTGTGGTTCCCCCCCACACACACACACACAAAGCAGGGCACTTACCAGGGCGTTATTAATTTTTTTACTTAAAAAGAAAATATATATTGTGCTAAAGCATAAGACAGTAAAGTTATGTATGTTACTAAACTGAATATAAATACTGTATAATAAATCATGATTGATTTCTTCCTTGAAGCTAAAAGTCAAGGAAAGATACAGCCTGAAGCTCAAAATAGGATGAGAAATTATCCTCATGATTATGCTATGCATCATAGCAAAAGAGATTTTGCAGTTGTAATTAAGATTACTAATAAGCTGTCCTTCAGATAATCTAGCGGGAAATCATCCTACTGGGACTGAACTAACCACAACATCCCTTAGATTCTGTTTGTTTGTTTTTTGAGGCAGGGTCTCACTGTGTAGTCCAGGCTAACCTTAAACTCAACTAGGTAGTCTAGGCTGGCCTTGAACTCCCAGTGATCCTCTTTGCCTCAACCTCCTGAGTGCTGGGATTACAGCTGTATGCCTCCACACCCAGAGCCCTTGAATTCTTCAGTGGAGATTATTAGAAATGAGACAGGGCCAGTTAGTGGGGGAGGGCCCACAATAGGGGCTTCTAGCAAGGCACTGAAGGTTGCTTCCATCAGCTGAGAAATGCTCTCAGCCAGCACCCACAAGAGAACAGGGACATTGGTCCAATGCTGAATTCTGCCAGCAACTCAAACGACCTTAAAAGAGGCAACCGAGCCTCAGATGAGGTAGCAGTCCCAGCTAACACCTTGAGTGCAAGTGGGCAGGACCCAGAGTAGAGGATTTGGAGGAGACCAAAGCTCCTGGCCTACAGAAACTATGAAACCATAAATGGAGTTTTCTGAGCCATTAAGTTTGTGGTAATCTGATAGATAGCAACAGAAAATTAATGCAATCTTTATATCTTCTAATATCAAACAATTGAAAGCAACAGAGCAACCAAAACTAGATGAAAGTTTGTTTTTGGTACTAATTCTTTTTTTTTTTTTTAATTTTTTTTTATTTATGTGTGTGTGTGTGTGTGTGTGTGTGTGGCCAGCTCAGCCCACCAGGGGGCGGGGCTGGCTGGCATGTGGTGCTGGGGGATTGAACCACGGTCCCTGTGCTTTGCTAAGTTTGTTCTAAGTAGGTGCTTTAGACCACTGAGCCATCTCACCAGCACATTGTTTTTGGTACTAATTCTAAATTACTCTATTGCAGCATTGCAGCAGAAGACTTTAATTCACCTCTGTCAGGAGGTAAAGTCCTCAAGGAATCCAGAAACAAGTAAGACTTTAGGACACGAGAGAAAGAGAGGGAGGGAGACAGACAGACAGATAGACAGACAGACAGACAGACAAGAGTAGCCATGTATTTGACTAGAAGTTTTCTATATAAAGTCTAAGTAGAAACGGCAGAATTATTCTCCATGTTCAGTGCAAAAAACCATAGAAACAAACAAGTTCAATATGTATAATTCTTATACTGAACTTCCACAGGGGGCCAGATTTTCTGTGTATCACATTAAGATATTAACTATTGATTTTATTAAAAATTGTTATCAAATATATATTTTTAAATCTTTCCAAAATTTTTGCCTCAAAAGTTATGCAAATTTTCCTTTCTAAGCTATTATTATTATTATTATTTTTTTATTTTTTATTTTTTGGTCTTTTTAAGACAGAGCCTCAGAGATGTGTTAGAATGAAGACTTGAGCATGTTTCTTTTAATTGAATGTTCCTTTGAGGTCCACATTTTAAAGCAATACTAAGAAAGACTTTAAGTGTTATTTTGGGAGACTTATGGTGTGTGTACGAGGAGCAGATGGTGGCGGACATTTCGCCAATAGAGTCCTGTAAGGAGGAAAAAGTAAAGTGAAAAACACGCGGACAGACTTTGCTACATGACCAGTTGATGCTTACAAGTGAAAATAGTTCTATTGATTTGTCATTTCTCAAGATATTTGATATCATCTGCATTATGTGTTATGTTTGTTTTAATCATTTAAAAAGAACAGAAGATTATATACACTATGATCTAAATACCTTGCTGTGTATGAGGATGAACGGAGATTTAATAGTTTTATAAAAGTAAGTTGGTGGGCTGGTGAGATGGCTCAGTGGTCTAAAGCACCTACTTAGAGCAAGCTTAGCAAAGCACAGGGACCACAGTTCAATCCCCCAGCACCACATGCCAGCCAGCCCCACCCCCTGGTGGGCTGAACACGCCACACACACACAAAGTAAATAAATAAATTTTTTAAAAAAGAAAGATTAAAAAAAAAGCAAATTGTCATAAAGTTTTATGAAACTGTAGCTACAATTTAATTTCACCCCAATAATGTTTGTATTACCTTTGCCAAAGAGCTACCAATAAATTAAGTCTCTTCTAAAAAAAAAGACAGAGCCTCACTGTACAGTTCAGGCTGGTCTCAAGTTCACATTATGGTCCAGATTGGTCTCGAACTCACAACGATCCTCCTTCCTCAGCCCAGGCAGGAATGCTGGGATTACAGACCTGCACCATGCCCAGTCTCTAAGCAATTAATACTAAGAACTGTATCATGAGTTCTCTTTTTGTTGAACCTCCCTCCTTGTTTGAAATAAATGACATGTGGTCCTAGTGTGTTATTCTTTGACTATGATGCCTTACTCTGTTGCTAATTTTTCTGCAATGCCTGTAGCAGATTTGTCTGGTGTGTGTGTGTGTGTGTGTGTGTGTGTGTGTGTGTGTGTGTGGTTTGCCTTGGTGGGTTATACTATCAAAGTTACATTAGTTTCAGGTTTAGGGATAAAGTCTCAGTAAGATGATAAGAGATTGTCTTCATTGCTTTTAATAATTTTCCTGCTTTTTTTTCACACAGTGATTTCTTTCCAGAGACAGCAGAAAAGTTCAAGACAGCACCACGTGGTATGTGATATTCTGTGAGGACATTCTAGCTGAAGACTCTAGTGAAAACAAAGCAAAACAAATCCCTGTGTACTGACTACTAAAAGAATATAGCCAATAACATTTACAGTGTGTGTGTGTGTGTGTGTGTGTGTGTGTGTGTGTGTGTGTGTGGCTGAAGAGAAAGAGAGTAACTTGGGGGAAAGCTAACTTTATCTTGTCCCCCCCTGCACCCTTGTTCCTGCTATCCCTTTTGCGCCCCTAGAAATGACCTTCAACACTTAAAGTGTCAAAAGCTTTCCCTTCCGGCCTACTATTTTTTCCTGTCCCTCTCTTGACATCTGTGCCATCTCCTCGCGCCTGCCCTGCCTGCCAGCAGTAGGCATCCTTCTCTCTACCCACAGGCCCTCTCCTCCAGCCTGTCGGAAGACATCATTTCCTTGCTTGAGAGCTTGGAGACCTAGGCTCTTGCCTTCTCCCTTTGTTGCCCATCAGCTGAGGGTTCTTATGCTTGATTCATACGTAAATCATGAATGAGTAAAGTGTAGGTCTCCTATCAGTTCTGATGCCACCAGATGATGCTGGCTGATACTGGATGCAACAGCTGGCACAGCTGGCTGCTGGTCACCGCCACTGCTGACTGCTGCCAGCTTGTACCAGACACTGGAGGTTAATTCTGCTGGGTGCCGGTCTATGCTACTGATCTTTGTTCCCTGCTGATTTCTGAACCTCTTTGGGGCCAAAAGATCCAAGTGTTTGTTGCTCACTCTTTTGAGTTGATGACTTTGACTTAGTTCGCATCTGAGTACATTTATATAGACCTTTGGAGCCCACACAACTCAAGAAATAAATGGCAAGCAGATTTACAGGACCATCAAAACCAGTCTTTATTTTAATTGGGCCTGCACTGCAGTGTGGAGGGGTCATGACCTTGGAGGGAGCCCCCCTAGATCACCCCAAGAAGGTGTGGAGTGCTGCCTGTGTTGCAGCTGCATGTCTGTGGTTGGGCCAAGCAGCTGGAGGGCTCCAGGACAGCTGTAGCTGCAGGGCCGAGGTTCAGTAAGGGTTTGGCGTGACAAGCTGTTTGACTGACAGCTGTCACTCTGGGGGGAAATGGTGGGGCTGAAATCAGGCACTCTTTGGGAGGTCTAGCTGTGCTTGTCACAACAGATGGGGTTCAGGTTTCCCCATATATCTCCCTCCCTGATCTTAGCCATGCCAAGGTGCCCCCCTTCTTCAAAGAGGCAGCAGGGACATATGCTGTGGGAGCAGGGGAGGAGCACAACCGGTGGCAGTCCCTGCATTCCTACAGCACTCCCTGGAGCAGAATGGTCACTAAATAACCAGGGAGGACACCGTTGGGCAGTGAGGGAGGGACTAAGACAGCCTCTGTTCAAGCTCAGGCAAAACAGACTCAGCTTTATCTTATTCTGCATCTTCTTCCCAGGGCTTTGGCTAGTTTTACCTTCCTTTGCCAGCAGGCAGACATGATTATGCATCATAGTGTATTCTGAAGTGTGTAGCACAGTGCTGTCCTAGTGGGTGTTCATCTCAAGCCTATTGTTTGAGACAGGGTCTGACTATGTAGTTTAGGCTGATCTTGAACTCACCGTGTAGCCCCAGGCTGGCCTTGAACTCATGGTCATTCTCCTGCTCCAGCCTTCTGAGTGCTGGGATCATAGGCATGCACCACCATGCCTGGCTCATCTGGAAGTTTTTAAAAAAAAAAAAAAAATTGTATCAAAATCTTGCCAGGGTGTGGTGGTGCACACCTATGATCTCAGCAATATGGGGGACTGAAATAAGAGGATCAAAGGTTTCAGACCAGCCTGGGCAATTTAATGACATAGCAAGAATATCTCCAAGTAAAAAGGGTGGGAGGTGCAGTTTAGTGCAAAGGCATTGGCTTAATTTACAGCACCACAAAACAAGCAGTAGAAATCCACCAGGAGCAGTAGGTGGGTCTTAAACGTAACCCTCCCTACAACATGCACTCCACACCAGCAAGGATGTTACAGGCACCCCCTTGCTGGGTAGAAGTAATAAGGAAACGAGAAAACCCAAGGGTATTTTCCCCAATTCCATAGCACAACTCCAGAGAAAAGACAGGGCAGATGAGAGACAGAAACAGGGAGATAGGAGAGAGAACAACTTTTCCCATTCCACAGGAAAGCTACAACTTAGATGGCAGTTGTAATATAGTAGGCGTGTGGTGGGGGCTTTAACTGAATGACTCATGGAATCCCCACCACAGCCCTGTAAGAGACATACTTCTGTTATCTCCCCTCCCCCCCCCCTTTGCAAAGGGAGAAACGGGCATAATCACAAAATCGCAGAGCCAGGACACAAACTCAGAGTCTAGTTCCTGATTTGCTGGTCTTAATACCAAAGTGTTTTGGTCTTAAAACCAAAACTCAAGAGCTGGGCATGGCGTTGCACACCTGTAATCCCAGCACTTGGGAGGCTGAGGTAGGAGGATTATTGTGAGTTCAAGATGAGCCTGGGCTACAAAGTGAGCTCAAGGCTAGCCTGAGCAGGATAGTGAGGCACGGTCTCAAAAAGATTAATTAATTAATTAATCAAACCAAAGGTCAGCAGAGACCTTTGAAGAATTAGGAAGTTCAAGGTTTTAAGTAAACAGGATTCAGGGGTGGGGAGATGGCTTAGTAGAAAAAGCGCTTCCCTGGCAAGCACAAGGGCCTGAGTTCAATCCCCAGTTCCACCAAAAAAAAAGATTCAGAAATAATAATGAGACTGTTTAAGTAGCCAAAAGAAATGGAAAATTCTTGGGCTCAGGAAATCCATAGCAGGGAAAGCTGGGTGTGGGAATTGGCAGAGAAGAGGGATATAGCATAGGAGAAGCATCGGAGGCTGGAGAGCGAGCGTGGCAAGCTGCCTGGCAAGCGCAAGGACCCAGGTTTGATCCCTGGTACCACATGCTGTGCCAGCCCTGGAACCAGGCATGGTGGTGCACACCTGTAATCCCAGCGCTGCAGATGCTGCGACAGGAGGATCACTATGGGTCTGAGCTGTGTAGCTAGACCCTGTACCAAATAAATAAGTAATAAAAAAGAAGGAAATGGGAGCATTTCCTGCATTACCATAAAGGCTGAGCTTTCTCTGTTCAAAGAGTGGTGCTCACATTCCTGCGCCTCTGTGTTCCATTGCTAGAAGGGGCCATGGGAACCAGTGGCCCTCACAGACTTGGGGACTAGGAACCGGGGCACAGGATCTAGAGGTGCGGGAAGACTTGGAGACCTGGTTTACATTTAGTTGTTCTGTATATGTTTTACTTTTTAAAATTTTTAAAGTTTTTTAATCAATGGGGTATAATGCATTAAAAGTTCATTCACAGAAATGTTCTATAGATAATCTAAATTTCATTGCTGGATCAAACTGCACATCTGTATCTAAATTCACAATTCATCTCTTGCTCTTGAAAAGGAGCTGTTATGAATACCTGTGAATGTCTGTTGCCCTCAAACCCTCCCTTTTATCTTACCTCTTATTCTTTATTTTCTTCTTGTGTGAGGAAGTGCTGGGGATTGAACTCAGGGAGTAGTGAACTACATCTCAGGGAGTAGTGAACTACATCTTTTCGTTATTTTTTTGTTTGAGACATATTCTTTTTTTTTTTTTTTTTTTTTTGCGGAACCGGGG